AAGCATCCCAACTTTGAAGATCATTTCACCATTCAATTAATATTTCAAAATTTATAATCATATTTCAAATTCTTGATCCAAACTCATTTGGGCCTCGATCATATTCAAATAACAATAAGATTTTTTGGCCATAATATTTAGAATGCTTCCATAAATACCTATAAATAGAATCATATAATTTCCCAAGAAATTTTTTGATATTGTACTTGATAAAAAAAAAATTACAAAACATATTGGGAGCCTTAAATTATATTTTAAATTTTTATCAAAAACTACTCATTCTTGTTGCCCATCTATTTGATCGATTAAAAAAGAATCCATCATAAAAATAAAAAAATAAAAATAAAAAATAAAAATTGCTGTTTTGAGATTGAACTAAGCTCTCCTCATCTAACTTTATATATTAATTCCTTCGAAGTCCGGCAATCCAGGCATCACCGAGAACCTCAACCACCTCTTCTTCTCCACAAACTTCAAACAAGGATGCAAAACCAAACCAACCGCCAGAGCGCCCAAACTGATGAACACAATCTTCAGAGTAGAGAAAGCCAAGACAACAAACACGACCGCCGACGGCGGAATCAGCATCACAAGGCATCCCAATGTCCCCATCGGAATCCGATACGGCCGCCGAACTCTCGGATACTTCATCCTCAGCCTCACGAACGCCGCAAATTCCATCAACATTCCCACACAATAAAGAAAGTTCTCAGCCGCCACAATCTCCTGAAAACTCAGCCACGACAGCAACACAACGCCGGAAGCCGATAACAATATGCCGATAACCGGAGTTCCGTGTTTGGATCTCTTCCCCAACACCTCCGGAAGCATTCCTCTCTCAGCCATCCCCATTATCTGATACGAATCGCTGCTCATTTCGGCTACAAACATCCCCATGTTCGACAGCGCAGAGGCCGCCTGAAGCCACCACCTCAGCCACACTCCGCCGAGGATTCTTGCGATTTCGGAGAAGTATCCATCAGTCCACTGATTTCTATTCAGCGGAATCGCAGCAGTACCGGCTAGTAATGGATACAAGTAGCCTGTGATAACTAAGATAACAGCGAAAAATAGCGCCTTTGGCAGCGTTTTACCAGGATTATGCACTTCTCCTGCCAACGTACTGATTGAATCCCAGTAATTCAAGTTCCAAAACAGAGTGTTTAGATACAGATTCCAATTAACGTCATGTAAATCTGTCACCAGCCATCTTGAAGGTTGCAGCTTTGGGATTGAAATGAAGCCCATGACAGCAAATGGAAGCAGGGAGAAGACACCCAGGCAAACTGCAGCCCAGCCAACCACATTCAGGCCTCTGTAGTTAATGTAAGTGAGAACGATAGTTAGCGCCAGGACTGCGAGAATTCTCGGATATCCTCCTTCAAGGGCAGGAAT